TATGTATGGATCACTTGGGTTGTTACCAACATCTGGTGAAAATTTCATGTCATTAGCACCTCTAGTAATATATTTACTGAGAAAAATGGTGATGTATTCAGTATATTTTTTATGGCATGCAGGTTTTTTTTCAGAATAAGCTACAGTTGTAAAGTATGCGTTTGTCCATTAAAATGGCAAGGATGCAATTTAAGAATAGTTTAAAGGGGGATATTATACAAAATTGTTTAAAATCAGCTTTTAATGTCATTCCCTCATCAAAAACATACCCAGAGTGTAGTTTTGACTCATCCATGCATATTAGAAAAATCATTGAATCTCTTGTGGTAGCCATGTGGAGCTGCCTAAATGCTTGGTGGTGCAAAGCACCGCCTACTTTTACATAGCTCCTCCCTCGAGCTCAGTGTGCAACAGAGCTCCTGCCCCAAAGAGCACCTTTCCCCGAAGCACTGATGTAAAGAATTGCTGAAGATGGAGTGTCGGAAATAGTAGGAGGTTCTTAAAGAGACAGAGGCCAATTTCAAGTCCTATAGATAGACCATGATACAAAATGAAAATTATCTTTGATATCTACAGCATTTTCAGAACAACTGAAGGTAACATGTACTTGGTTGAGGTACAGAATTGAACTATGTGCCTGGAAAATACATAACCCCCCCCAATCTTGGATGGATGGATGGATGGATTACTCATCAAACAAACTGAAGCTGAAAAGTCTGTGCTGCAGCCAAATAGCTTCAACACACACACACACTCGCACGCACGCACATACACACACACACACATGCACGCACACATCCTTGTCATCAAACTGAGGACTTTGTATTGACATCCGTTCATTTTGTAACTGTATTTATGCCTAACCCAGACATTTTCTCKAAAACTAACCATTACTAGTCTATTCCTAATCCTAACCTGAACCAAAACTTAAATTACACCATTCCTCTAAACCTAACTAGTAGAGTGCAGAAGAGCTATAAATAGAGTGAGGCTGTTGAAGACACACACACACACACACACACACACAAAATCTTTTATACTTTTACCGTAAATCCTTTGCTTAAAGTCTTCACCGCCTCCATCAAACCAACCAATCACAGTTCAATTCACGTTTGACTCCTTTTC